GAAAACAACCATTATGATTTTTGTATGTTTTTCTGTTTTTAAACCTAAATGTAAAATTGAACTAATTAAAAATTCACAGCGTTTGATTTTTGCTTCAGCTATCTGAATCCAAAATTAAATCTAGGGTTGTTTTATTATGGAGGGAAACCAGAAATGAGGAAAGTTGCCAAAGAAGAAGAGTTTATATCATCTGAAGACTGCTTAAAAACAGAAATCATTCCTAAAGATACGGTTAGTGGCTGCAATCAAACCCAATTCTGCATAAGTTGGAATATTAAAGTTATATTGTTCACAGTAAAACCATCAGCTCTCAATGAGACGTGTCGATAAATAACACCAACATATTTGTGGTGAGAAGTGAAAACGTAACGTGCCAGGAGTTCAGCTCATGATGATTTCTAGTTCTTCCAGTAGGTCCTAAATGATGCACAAAATACAGTATATAAAATCTAAAAGTTGGCTTTGCTTTAACCATTGAAATTTTTAAAGTGTAGTATTTCTGTTTTTTATTTTTTTGCAATTGTCATTTTTCTAATTTAGTTTTAAAACCAAAAACCTAAACAAATTTTCAAAAACACCATTATTGTTTTTTCTCATTTTATTTTAAAACTGAAAAGCCAAGGAACGATCCATACACGGGTTATATAGTAGCTCCTTATGTTTCGATCAAAACTGCAGTAAAACTGTGGATTCAGGCCTTGTGAAGAAGTCGATATGAATTTAGTATTTCAATTCTTTAAAAAAAAAGAAGTCAAGATATTTCTAKGAGTTTAGTTTTGTGTCATCAAAACTGACTCGGACAATCATCTGAGTCGAAACTCTGCTGAAAATTTAATTGATTTGTTCTTAAAATTCAAAAAAATTYACTTTTCCTGCTTCACTCATTAGTWATTTTCTATGTTAGGCTCTAAGCATCCACGGTCTCTAAATTACCATCCAAATMTTTGTATTTTTCTCAAAATTCTGGATTTTTCCTTCTCTTGGTGAAAATAAATCCTGAATATTGATGTATTCAATGGGAAATAAAAAAAACAAGTGTTTTATTTTCTTGTTTTGTTTTAYGGAGTAATTCATTACCAAAGCAACTTGTTTCAATGGTTTCATCTTAGTTATTGGGGAAAGAATTAGCTCTATTCCAGRGCAAGAAAGAAACTCACAATGTGAACAAGATGTTAATTTACTGTTAATTTGAATCTTTGCAGGATGGGTTTTTGACAGCATCAATATTCCTGCTTTGTTTTGGAATCTAATTAGTCGGCTAGATTAGAGCTTTCATGCACAAGTTGTCTGGGAAAATCATGGAGGAATACAAACGGCGCTCACTTAGAGGAGAGATCAAACTATATTAGCGGCTCATTTACTCATCGAGCGCCGATGCAGAAAGCACACTGGTGTGAGTTTAGTTCCTCGGCACTGTTGAGGCATCTGCTGAACCTTGTAGCTTACTTTGTTTTGTCACTATCTCTCTTTTTTTTTTTCCCCCTTCTCCTTTTTCTGTCCTGATTTTAGCTGCTTCAGCAGGCAGCCTCCTCCGGTAACCTCGGAGCCTTCAGCGGGATCCAGCAGATGGCCGGTGAGTCCAAAACTCAGCCCACTGGCTCCTTTGACCACAATCTACTGTGGCGCTGGACTATTTGTTGCACCTCTCTGTGATTTTTTTTTCCCACAGACTTCTAAAAATAAAATAAAATAGGGGGGGGACCAAAGAGCATAACAGATGAACTCGTGTGGTAGAGTAAAGAAAGATGGTTGCCCTGAAGATTTATTAACTGTTGSTAAGATTTGTCTTGATCTTTTAATGAGGCCAGAGAAGAGTTGTGCCCAGGGCGTGTAACAGTAGCAGCGAGGCTTTGTCAGGGATGGATGAATCACAAGAAAGGAGGAAAGAAAAAGAAAAGGGAGTACAGAGAAGAAGAAAAAAACATCAGCTAAAAGGCATGTGTTGCTCTGAGGAGTAGCGCCATCTACTGGCGTCGTCCTGCACAAGATCTSTGACTTCCTGTTTCTTTTTTGAGTCAATCTCTTAAATAAATAAGGCTAGGAAGATCAGGAATTCGATCTGTTTGACGTCGAACTGAGTCGGGAAAAGTTTTCTCTAAATGCTAAAGAAACGAAGCTTCTGCTTTTTGTCGAAAAGTTCCCTTTTTTTCATTTTAGACGAGATCAAATCAGCGTCTTTGAGGAGTCGCTTTTTCAGAGCTTAAAAATTAAGACTTTTCGCGGCACGCTCTCGGTGACTTATCACTTTTTTTTCTYGTTAAGCTTCTTTTTACAGATTCCTTTTATCACAGTTTCTCCATCCCACCTTAACTCCAACTCCCTWTGCTCTTCATCGTCTGCATTTCTCCGCCTTTTTTTTTTGGTCGTTTCACACAAGAATAACCGAACACAGCGACTCAAGTCTGCTGGGAGTGTCTTAAAAGTGATGTAACCTCAACGGTTTTCCCTTCAAGCCATGTCGACTCCCACTTCTCCCTGCAACGGCACTTTAAATTTTCAGCCTTTATTTTTTTTTTCTCAAGCTCTCGCTGACAAACAAGAATCTGAGATTCAGAACCAAAGGGGCGTCTGAATCTGTTGGTCCTCCATCTGCGCTGGTGAGGAGAGGGGGGGAAAAAGCGAGCGAGCGTCTGTGATTGGCAGGAGACAGCCAGACAGCTGAATGACATCTGGTCCCAGTCTTTAACACGAGGAGCTGCAAGAGCTGAGAGGCTTCAATTACACCRATGAGCATTCAATTAGACGGCGCCGACGGCAGGCTGCTGCGGCGCTCGCGCACATATGTACCCGCACAATGACCCGCTGCACGTACCATCTGCWCAACCCAGATACTCTGATGTGTTCGTCTCTTCCTCGCCTGCACTTTACTCCTCTCTCCTGCCTGCTCCCGTTTCTCCTAACTGTTGTAAGCTYATTGAGGGAGATAGATTTTAACAAACGCAAGGAAGAACTAGAGCAGGGGTTCTTAACCTTTTTGACCTCTGGGCCCAATTTGTTGAACATAAAGTGACACGAGGCCCAGTCACACATTACCATACGGATCAAAATAATAATTATTCTAAATCTTGATTTAATTTTTTATTGTATTTACATTATAACTAAACTATCATAACTAACATAACTAAATCAAGTACACTTACAGTTTAAAAGTAAAACTCCTGTCAAATAATCACAAGACATGAATATGACAAACATTTTTATATTGTAACCTGCCCATAACAATAAATACATATGTTTTAACACAAACAATAACAAAAATAGACAATTTAAAAGATACAATTTTGGTCATAAAATAAATAAATTAAAATGTTTAATGTTTGAAATAAAAAATATGTAAAAATAAATTTGATAAAGTACAAATGAAAATACAGCCTTTTTAAACTTTTGCAACCTGAAGCTGCTCTTCATATTAGTGACAAACTTTGGTGTTTTTTGACAGGTTACTTTCATTTTTGCCTTCTACTTTTCATTTAAATAAGTTTCCATTTTCAGCAGGTTTCTAAGGTTCTTCTACATACAGTATTAAAAAGTTGTTGAAYAWCTGAGTGGCGCACTACCGCTACTWGTGGTGAGAAAGWGTATTGCACCTTATTCAAAATCAATGCRGTCCCGCGGCCCTCTGCAGCCCAAAGTTAAAAACTGTTGTTCTTTTGAGGCCCTCAAGGTGGCGCTTACGGCCCAAAATTGGGCCGCGGCCCATAGGTTAAGAATCTCTGGACTAGGGGATTTGCATTTCTTGTGAAAATGCAGGGAATGCTCAGTGCTGAAGATTTTTGCTGAATATCTAAAAAAAGTTTAAACTAGCCTAAGATAGCTCAAAAGTAGCTGAAATTAGCACAAACAGAAAGAGCAAATGTTGGCTGAATTAAACAGTAAGAAGCTGAAATGATCACAAAAAGGTGAATTTATCTGAGAAAAATCTCATATTAGCTAAGAAGCAACTAAAATCACTAAAATAGCTGAAGTTAGTGAAAATCAGCTGAACAAAGCATAAAAAGTTAAACAAGCACAAAAAGTTAGAATTAGCAGAATAATGGAAGCTAAAATTAGTACAGAGATGTTAAAAAAATGCAGAATTAGAACAAAATGTAAAAAGTACAGTAAAGATTTATAAATATTTTAAAAGGTTTTAAGAATGTTGAAAACAGCTCCATTCATTTTCAGTGAGAAAATCGTGGCAGAAAAATCTAAAGATCTCAAAAATTATAAATTGCTGAAGTACAGAAAGCCATATCTGGAATGTCCTGAAGGAGCTAAATGTTTTAATATAGAAAATGTTGAAATAGCACAAAAGTTGCGCAAAAATGTACGGAAGAAAAATGATCTCAAATGTGTGAATGCTTTATTTTCATTAAACRCCCATTTAATGCTTTATAAGCTCTCACACAACTAGTGAGGAAAAAGACGTGGGGAAAAGGTGRCGTGCAGAGAGGAAGATAGAGGTGGGATTTTTGTTGTTTTTGCCATCAGCCGAGGCAAAGAGAAAAGACAGAGTGGACAAGAAACAAATGTAGATAGAACTGAAACAGCAAAAAAGAAAAGGGACCAACAGAAAAGGATGGAAGAAAACAGATAAGGCAATGCAGGCAAGAAGTAAATAAGGGGAAAACGAATGCAAAATAGAGCAAATTGACAGAAAATATGTTGAAAAGAAAGAAGAATGCTCAGCAGAATCWATAAAGATTATTTGGGCGGGGAGTATGATTAATGTAACGTAAAAAAAATGAAAGAAAAGACAAGGGGGCATCAAAAGGCTAAAAATGAGGAACATTGTGTACAAATGTCAGACTAGAAACGAGAGGAAAGAAACCGATTTAAGGTGCTTCAAGATCTGTTGAGCGAAAAGTAAAGAAGAGATGACAGACCGTTTATCTGCTTTGTAAACAGACTCATCAGGTCTGTCACGTTCCCAAACCAAGAACAAAACGAAACTTCTTTTTTTTTTAAGATGGAACAAAAAGGTGCGAACATTAGTTCAGGTCTTCTCGCTCMTTTGCTGCGTTGTCTGCCCGCCTCAATAAAAGGCCCCCGGCCCAAATTAGCTGCAGCTCCGAGCGCATGTTCGCAGAAATTTGATAGAAAGAGTGACGGCTGTTTTTATTCCTGCCTGGCGTGGGAATAGGAATCCATTTTTCAGCTTTTGATGTTTGACAGAAAACTGGGGAAAATCRCCCTGAAAACACGATTGGTTTTGGCGGCGGCGGCGCTCCTAAGCAAGCACGGGCGAATAAAGAAGTCGCACACGTGTTGTCGTTCCACCCTGAAAGTCTCACACGCCTGGGGCGACTCCATGAAGCGGGATCAGATGTCTAAAAGCAGGCAGCCTCTCTCTTTTGTTTTTTTTTTTTTTTTGTTTTGTTTTTTTACTTTCTACATTTAATTAACCAATCAGAACTGTGAATCCAAGTGAAGAATCCAGCCATCTGTTGTCATCGTTCAGCTGGGTTGTCTGAGTGAAGGATATCTGCGTCTAACAAGACAGATCCTCTTCACCGTGTAATGTTTGTGTGTGTCTTTCTCTTTGTGTGTGTGTGTGGGTGCGTGTGTGTGTATTTCCATGTATATACACCCAGACTGTATATACGACACCTTACATGTTGCCACCCTTTCAACTTTAACAAGCTCATGAGTCGGAGGAAAGCCTTTCTGAGGGAAGTTTCTGCTCTGTTCCTTCTGTTCTGCTCGCTGTCAGAGCTTTTTACACGGATTCCTCGAAAAGGGCCACACACACACACACACACACACACACACACACACACACACACACACACACACACACA